GCATATTTGAAGTTAGTCAGACAAGAGGACTGTTGTCTTCAATATGTGGATGATGTTCTGATAACTGGACAAAACAGGGAGGATTGCTTTGAAAACACACCCAGACTGCTCCAAATGTTACAAGACTGTGGCTACAGAGTGTCCAAAATTAGTTCAAATGACTGTAATGTATTTAGGCTATGAACTATCACAAGGACAAAGAACTCTGGGCCCCCAGAGAAAGCAAGCTGTGTTACAGATTCCCATCCCCCAAACAAAACAGGAAGTTAGAGCCTTTTGGGGAATTACAGGCTTCTGTAGAATTTGGATTCCTAACTTCGCTCTCACAGCTAAACCATTGTACCAAGTTTTAAGAGGATCAGAAAAGGAACCCCTTTTGTAGCAACAAGAGCAGGCCCAAGCAATGAAACATCTTCAACAAGCCCTTATTACAGTACCGGCTCTAGGACTACCTGATATATCTAGGTTGTTTTCATTTTATGTCGATGTGAGACAGAATGTGGCTTTAGGAGTCCTTACTCAAAAGCAGGGAAATTGGAATCGCCCAGTTGCTTATCTGTCAAAACAATTGGATATGGCGGCGCAAGGATGGCCACAATGTTTAAAAATTCTAGCAGCAGTTATGCTGTTACTACAGGAGGCAAATAAGTTAACCTTTTCTGTTCCGGTGGCTGTTTGTACTAGTCATGCCCTGCAGACAATTATTGACAATAAGGGGCATTTATGGATTAGTAATCAAAGGATGCATAAGATACAGGCCCTTTTATTAGAAAATCCACAGGTTACACTGCAACAGTGCTCTACTCTCAATCCGGCCACTCTTATGCCAATACCAGATTCAACTATGCCCGTGCATAACTGATGCAAACATAGAACTATAATATTCTTGCAGACGTGACCTTACAGACCAACCATTGCATAATCCAGACTTTCAGTGGTTTACCGATGGATCCAGCTTTATGGATCAAGGAATTAGATACTCTGGTTACGCAATTGTTTTTCAAACTGCAACTGTAGAATCAGCACAATTACCTAGCCAAGCAAGCGCACAATTTGCAGAGTTATATGCCCTAACCCGAGCATTAGAAATAGCTGCAGGAATGATTTTAAATGTATATACGGACAGTAAGTATGCATTTTTGACAATTCATGCACATGCCGCAATCTACAAAGAAAGAGGATATTTGGAGTCCACAGGCAAGATCATCCAATATGCAACTTTGATTAAAAGACTTATTAAGGCAGCTCAATTACCGTCTAAAGTTGCAATCATCCATTGTCCTGGACATCAAAAAGACTCAAGCCTTATTACCCAGGGCAATAGGAAGGCAGACAAAGAAGCCAAAAGAGCTGCGTTAGAAGGCCCCCCCTCCAATCGGATGTCACCAGGTTCATGTATTTACATGACACTTACTTAGAACAACTTGATCCTACATATATGAAAGAGGAAAGCCAAAAGTTGAAACAGGATGTACAAGCTGAACTGGTTAAAGGCTGGTACACTCTTCCCGATGGACGCATTGCTGTTCCTCTTGCACTTGCCTGCCCCCTTATTTTTCAGCCCATAAGCAACATCATTTGGGAAAAACTGCATTATTACAGCAGCTTGAATGATTTTTCTATCTTTCCTTTGCTTCTTCGCTAACGGCCCAAGTATGTTCTCAATGTTCCATTTGTTCCCAAACCAATGCACGCCAAGGACCAGTAGTACCGCCTGGTCGACAACCAATCGCTTATTTTCCAATGGACTATGTCATTGTTGATTTTACTGATATGTCTAGGAGTAAGAAATATGTAGCCCTGTTAATTATAATTGATACCTATTCAGGGTGGATTGAGGCCTTTCCGACTGTAAATAAAAAAGCTATACAGGTTGCCAGAATCTTTCTTAAAGAAATTATTCCTAGGTTCGGTTGCCCTTCTAGGATTTCATCAGATAATGGCCCTAAGTTTGTACACCAAATTAATAAGGCTTTAGCCCAGGCATTAGGAATTAAGTAGAGATTTCATTGTGCTTTTCACCGCCAATTGGCTGGTAAGATGGAACGTGCTCATCGCATGATTAAAACCCTTATTACCAAATTTTGTTTGGAAACTCATCTCCATTGGCCAGACGTTTTGCCTATGGTTTTGTATGAAATCAGACTGGCCCCCTGCATTAAATTACAACTTAGCCCTTATGAGCTCATGTTTGGCCATCCCCCTTGTCTATTTAAACCTGACAGTCAGGGCTGGCCGGACTTGGCTCATAAGGGGGGAATAGACCAACAGAAATCGTTACATCAGTTACAGCTTCATAATTTAGCTGTTTCAAATTTGCGCCATTATATGATGGAACAACAACCCCCTCCAGTGGTCATGGCAACACATGGGTTCAAACCAGGAGATAGAGTATGGGTAAAACACTGGAAATCAGATCCCTTGAGCCCAAGATGGAAAGGATCATATACTGCTGTCATGTGTTCTCCTTTGGCAGTGAAATCCTTGGAGGGAAAGTCCTGGGTCCACTGGAGTAGATTGAAAGCAGCTGCACCTGCCGATCCAGTAACTTACAAGGTGGATAAAACTGACAAACCCTTAGTGTTAATATTTACAAGAAATACACCCTGTCGAACCCTACCGGCAATGGGTTCTCAACACACGATGTGAACATCAGACGTTGCTGAGACACTCCGGAAGCTGTCTCTCTATGCATGGTGGAAGACATGAGGATTCTACAGCTCATAATATCTGTTAGTTATTTAATATGGGGAATATACACACACATTCCTACACAAATCAGTGCAATGGCTACATGAGAGGTCATACCGCAGAAACCCTCTAATAGAAAACTATGGAGTAGTACACACAAAGAAAGAACAAAAACACAGGAAAGCCAGGATTGTCAAAATTGCATCAAGATTACAAAACAAGGAAGCCAGATAACTAAGACTTTGATTTATCATACAATGAAACCAGAAGAGTGCCAAGATAGCTCCCCTACTCCTGTACATACAATAAAACTACATATAAAGTTTGTAGAAAAGGGGTCCAAGATCAGTATTATAACCCAAAGTCTAATCCTGATAGTTGGGCCTTACAAATCCGAACACATAGAACAGATAGGAGCTCTAGGGACCAGGCACTGTTAGTGATCTCCCAATGGAAATCCAACCCACACTCCAGTTTTAGCGTCACCTTTGATGTTTGTAAGGCAGCTAATTGGACATGCATGTTACTCAAGGAACAAAACAGAATCTTGCATAGCAGTAGGTAACCTCCTATGCACAGGGACTTGGGAAAATGGTAAATGGTGGTCTGGAATCAACGAAACCACTACTATGGATCATTATGCTTTATATGGTATCTGGGATGCCATATCTAAAAGACCTATATGGTATCTGGGATGCCATATCTAAAAGACCCCACAAATACCAGTCTCCTTTGGCTAGCCCCAGATGGAATGTACTGGATTTGCGGAAAAATGGCATACGGACAACTACCTAAGAACTGGTGTGGATCTTGTGTATTGGGAATAATTTGACCAGGATTTTTCCTGTTACCATTTAAAACTAAGCAAATTCTTGGAGTTCCCATCTATGATGAAGTTGGCAATATAAGACAAAGAAGGGAACTAAGTGCACGCACCCAATGCACAGGAGTCACTTGGCAAGAACATGAATGGCCACCTTGCCGCATTATCATAGTTTATGGTATGGCTACTTGGACTGAGGATGGAATGTATGGATACCATACCCCTATTTATATGCTCAACAGGCTCATTAAGTTACAAGCGGTGGTAGAGTTAATCACTAATGAGACTGTGAATCGGCCAAAGAAAATGTGAAATCCAGGACATATATTATGCAAAATAGGTTAGCCTTGGACTATCTGTTGGCCAAAGAAGGAGGGGTATGTGAAAAATTCAACCTAACAAACTGTTGCATCAAAATAGATGAAAGTGGGAAAGTGTTGAAGGACATAACAGACAAAATGGTCAAACTAGCTCACGTTCCAGTGCAAACCTGGAAAGGATTTAATTTGGAAGACATATTTTCAGGATGGTGGCCAAAGTTACCAGGCCTACAAACCGTCATAGTTATAGCAGTCTTGTTAATTCTAGGATGTATTTTGATTCCCTGTTTACTCCCCTGTGTTGTAGCAATGATTCGAAGGATCTCAGAAAGTACAGCCCAATTAATTGTAAAACATGAAACAATGTTAGCTTTATGGGAATATAAAATGTTGCCCCCTAAAGATCCTGAATTGGAGATAAAATGATGGAAGTTTAAGTAGGAAAACTTCCAAAGGGGGGAATAATGTGGAATAATGAACAATCACTAGAATAATGATGTGTCTGCATAATTACTGGAATGGTGCTGTGTTAGTAGTATGTGACTAACCTAATGAGCATTGCACTTGGATACAATGTATATAGCAAACTCTCTCCATTGTTTACCCGTGAGAAATGAACTTAATGTATTACAATGTGTATTTCAATGTGTATTCCTTTGTTCCTGAGAAAAGGGAAATATAAAACTGAAGTCTGAACCTGCCCTCAGGGTTCAGAATTGCTAGTTGCTATTGCTTCTGAACCTGCGCAATAAATCTCTCTGCTAAAAGCCTCTGGAATTTGTAAGAGTCCTTTCGTTTTCCACAAGAAAGGGATTAATGAGAAGTGATTGATTTTTGGCATTCATTAAGAAAATTATATTCTTATCTTTTTTTTTAATGCATGACTTCTCCAGAAAATTGCCTCCAATTTTAGATGATTTATTTAAATCAAATTACAGTGAGGAATTAATGAAGAAGACCATAATATTAATTGCCTGATATATTTTGTTTTTCTTTTCCTGGTTTGAAAACCAAAAAAAGCAAATAATAACATAAAGGTTTTCTCATTGGTTTTGCAATTCACAAAGTGTTTTCATTTGGTTTTGCAATTGGTTCTGCAATTCACAAAGTTTTTTCTTAAATAAAAATATGCTAATCAAAATTCCACTTGCTATTTTTTTTTCCAGCTCTCGTAAATGTGAAACTTTGGGCTATTGATCGGCAATGTTTCCAAACAATCATGATGAGGACTGGCCTTATCAAGCATACAGAGTATATGGAATTTTTAAAAAGGTATGGCACTGGATTATGTATTTGTCTTTTGGAAGCACACACTACATTTATTACCGTGGTTGGAGAATTTTGTATATATATATTTGTCTTGTAGGCGGGGGGGGGGCGGCTTGTGAATGAGTACTCATTTATATTCCTCATTTTTAATTTGCTCTTTTAATTACATAAGAGCTGGAAAATAGGGGGCAGTGACTGAAGATCTTAGCTTCATTACTGCTTGCCTTTTATCATAGTAGCTATTCCTCTTAAGGTTGGTAGATGAAAAGTAAGTAACAGAATAAATACAGCAATCATAGAAAGAGCAATTTTTGCAGATCCATTAGGAATTTCTCTTTTAAGAAAAGATTTATTCAAGATATAGAATAATTTTGTCTTTTAAAAACATAGCATGGCCTAATGCTTTTTAAAATAATATTTAATAATAATATATTTTAAAAGTATGTATCAGTATCTCTGAGATATAGTATTTCTCTTTGCCTTGGGGATGTACAAAATGGAACTTAAATGAATTAGAAAAGAGATTTATTGATGCGTATTTTAATTTTATTAAATTTGAATTTAAGTCCCTTGAAAAGGATTCAAGTAGTTCTGATTTTCCTAATGCAGTATCAAAGTGCCAGAAAGTTGACATATATAATTATACAAGAATCAAATATATTAACACAAATCTCCTTTAATTAAAAGTTATTAAAGGCCAGAACTATAAGCTCCTTCATTCAAAAAAGAAAAAGAGTGCTACTAGAAAGCTTTAGGTAGCCAACAGTCATTCAGGTTGTCTACTCTAGGTAACAGAATTCACATTGTTTTTCAGTCCTTAACTAAACTTTCTATTACTGCATTCATTGGGGGGGGGGAGCAATGTTTTGAATGAAGATTTAATTTGCAGAAACCATTCCCAAATTAAGTTTAAAAATTTGCTTAATTTTAGAATTAGGAAAATGAGAAGACATTAATAATAAATGTTCAGTTTAATTTATGGATAGGCATATCTTGTACATGACAGATTGATGACTTATACTCTTCTGTGGAGTTGTTAGGCAATATGTTTCATTGAAATCAGCGTGCTGCACTCCATTTTTGTCTTTAATTCATTGTATTGTATTTGAGACTGCTCTTTAATGGCATTGAAAAAAGTGGGGATATTACAGAGCACTGGTGATACTATCAATTTCCTTCTCTTTTTTTTCTTCCAGTAGTTTCTTATAGATATGCGGACAAACAGATGACAGACAGACAGGCACACCATACATCTCTATCCCTTGGCTTTTGAATTGTTTTTATTCAAGAATAATAATCATCAATACTTAGTATATAACTATAGTAGTTACTATCTCCTTAGTTCTCATTTTGTCTCGGCCTTAGTCAATGGTGGAAAAATGGAAAGAGGTGGAATGATTGAATATACTAATTAGGTTATTATCTTGTCTCCCTATTGTGGAAGCAGCAGCTGATAATTACTTAAGTTGAGCTAGGTTTCCATCTCTCTCTGAAAGAGAAATGATGATGCCTGTGGAATCTATGCTCATTATTTAGCAAAGATCTCAAGAGGATGCTATTTTAAAGTTGTATTGTGAAATGTGCATCAAATGAAGACAAAATAAAAACAAATCCTCTTCTATTTGTATGTTGTACAAGATAAGTTAATCAATCCATCTCTTTTAGTTAAACTTATCTTTATCAAAGGATCTATGGCGTGTCAAGTTTAGGGATGGATGGATCTGTTTCTATCTTTTTCAGTTCCAAATGCATTCATTCATAAGACACCACTTCTGGCCTCTTTTACATCAATCTTTGAATTAGCAAATGCATGAATGTTTTCAATGGATACCAATTGTGCTTTTTTTTTCACTGAGAAAACAGCATGAAACAAAGGGAAAGGAAAACCTCCCATGCCCTCCAAATCTATTTTGGTTTGAGTGGTAACTGTAAAATACTTTGTTCGCTTGCAAATGATGAGGAAACATGGCGAATTCAACAGTTCTTTATTTCTCCTTTAGTCAATACTCCAACAACGAGCAACAGGCACGCAGGCCTCTTTAAGCAACCAGAGACCCGGACAATAACACAACAAAGTAGCAGGCGTTTTTGCACCTTGTGCATGCGCTCAAGGCCAGCACCACTCAGTCTGGTCCCGGGCAGCTTTTGGAATGCCCGGGACCAATGCAACGTCCTGAGCCTGCTTTTGCAGGCTCAGGACACAACACCCCTCCCTCCTAGATGGAACATATCTCCGTGCACACAAGTGCATTATCCCTTGGGAGGGTGTTATATAGTTCCACAAATCAAATGCACTGAATGTGGAATACTCGGGGCTACCCTCAGGCAAAACCCCTTCAATCTGTTCAGGAATAGATGTATCCAAAATCAAAAAATAATACAAAATAATCTTCCTATTCAGGGCCCTTACGAGCAGACCCCTTTGAACTTGACAGCAACTTCACAAACTCCCTAAGATATTTGGGTGGGCAGTTGGCTCACTGCGACCTCCAAAGGCCAGGAGAGATTTCCTGGCCCCTTTGCTCGCCTACCAGATGAGGCAGGCCAGTGTGTGGCTGCCTTAATTTTTCCTGGGACCCCGGTGAGGTTGCCTGGCCCACCTGCTTGCCTACCAGGCTAGGCAGACCAGGACTTTGCTGCCCCAAATACCCGGTTGACCCACCCATCTGCTGGCTGGCTGGACACTCTAAGTCCAAGCCAGCATATCTTGGAGGGGTGGTAGTCCCCGGATCCACAATGGACCCTTCTTGGGAACACTGTCCCTCAAACCCAAGGCCAGCAGATGGAAATGCCCCAGCTTGCCTCCCTGGCTACCCCCTTCCTTGTTGACCTCCTTCTGGGAGCAATTGCAGAATTGGGCCAGCGCCCCTGCTGGAATTCTTGTTCTCTTGTTGTTTGTGAATTATGTGGATACCCCCGGTCAGTCTCCCTGTCTGGAGCACTCTGTGACATGTGTGAATAATTTGGATACTCCCTATCTGGAGTACTTATCAATGTGTCCTGTGAATTCCTGTTGGGAGCACTTGTGGAACCTTGGGATGACTCCCCAATAGCCTCATCAGCGGCTAATGATGGCCTGTTAGGCCTGTGAAACTGAACCTCAGGACATATTATGGTCCTCCTCCTCCCCCCCAGAGCAGAGCCAGGAGCGGAAGGGTGAGAGTCCAGTCTCCAATGCAGTTGGTCAATGTGTCTGCGAAGAACACAGCCGTCTCCCAAGGCAACTTCGTATGAAAGTGGCCCAGAGACCTTGCAGACCACCCTGTGACCCAAAGATGACCAGGCCCATAGTTCTGTACCCAGACCGGAGTCTCCTAGGTGCCCGTGGTTGTGACATCTGTGCAGCCACCCGGTCTGGGTGCAACCTGTCCAGTTTAGTGATAAGACAGCGACCCCAGTGGAGTTCAGCGGGGCTCTTCCCAGTAGCAGTGCATGGTGAGGTGTGGTGTGCAAGAAGGAAATCTGCTCACCTGTGATGGCAGTTACCGTAAGTCAGTTTCTTGAGGGCATCTTTGGTGGTGCATACCATTCTCTCAGCCAGTCTGTTGGAGGATGGGTGGAAGGGAGCTGATGTTGCATGCCGGATCAGATTGGCCTGAAGAAAAACCTGGAACTCAGAAGAGGAAAATTGAAGGCCATTATCTGAAACCAGAACATCTGGGAGACCATGTGATGCAAAAATTCCTCTCAATACCTGGATGGTCCTGGCACTAGTAGTGGAGGAAACAGGAACAACTTCTAGATACTTGGAATAGCTATCAACAACAACCAGGAAGAATTGCCCCTGAAAGGGCCCAGCGTAATCTATATGCACCCTAGACCATGGAGTTTGCGTTTCCTCCCACCTATGTACTGGGACCTGAGGCATTTCAGGCCGAGACTGTTGGCACACTTGGCACCCGTGCACCTGGGCCTCGATGGCTTTATCGAGCCCAGGCCACCAAAGATGGCTGCACGGAATGCTTTCATCCTGACAATACCAGGAAGTCCCTCATGCAGAGAGATCAAGATTCTAGACCTCAATGAGGTTGGGATCACTACCCTGCTACCCCATGACAGGCAACCCTTGAAAGTGGACAACTCATGCTTCTTGAGCCAGAAGCTTTGAAACTCAGTATCTGGGCACTTGTCAGGCCATCCTGACAACACCCATGTCAGCACGTGTGTAAGCATGCGATCAGTGGTAGTTTCTGCAGCCACATCCCTGGCATTGAGGGGAGACTCAGGTAACTCCTGAATAGACAGAATATTAATGGCTGGAGCTGGAGCTGGCTCTACTTGGTTCAGGGGTAGTCTGCTCAGGCCATCTGCATGAACCATTTCTTTTCCTGGTTTGTGGACCAATGTATAGTCATATGCCGACAGGAAAATGGACCATCTCAGCATACAAGGAGAAATTATATGTGGGGTCTGTTTGTTAGTGGTAAACAGCCCCAGCAGAGGCTTATGGTCAGTAAAGACTGTGAAATGGCGGCCATATAAGAAATCATGAAATTTCTTAATGCCAGCCACTATGGCCAAGACTTCTCTGTCAATCTGAGCGTAATTCCGCTCTGCAGAAGACAGAGTCCTCGAATAATAGGCCACAGGGTCCTGCGTCCCATCAGCCTTCAGATGACTGAGTACTGCTCCAACCCCATAAGGAGATGCATCACATGTGATGCAAATAGGCAGTTGCTCATTAAAATGCGCTAAAACTGCATTAGAAGTGAGCAAGGCTTTAACCTCATTGAAACTCTTTTCGTGGACTTTGGTCCACTGCCAAGAGGCCTGCTTGTCTAAGAGCCTGTGTAAAGCCTCTGCTACTGCAGCTTTATGTGGAAGAAATGCATGGTAAAATAGCCCTAAGAAGGCTTGCAGCCCACTTTTAGACTTAGGGCTTGGGGCCTGCTGGATAGCTTGCAATTTAGATTCAGCAGGGTGATTGCCTTGAGCATCTATCCTGAATCCTAAGAAGTCAGTAGAAGTGACTCCTATCTTATACTTGTCCTTCTTTAACTTAA